TTTCCGCTTATGTGAAGGATTACTCACAAGAAAGATATATTTCGGTTTGGAGAAGATGGATAGATTATATTGAGAGTAAATATGGTACTAAAAAATTTCATTTGGTTTTTGAGTAAATTTTAGAGTAATAATGTAGTTTATATGTTATAATAGGTTACTTATTTTTATTTATAATTATTAATATGATGTTATAATTATTGTGTTTAATATTAGTATATTTGTTTAAAAGAGAGTTAAAGGATGTTATANTTAGCCAATACATCTGGGTCCAGGGAAGGCTTCTTAAGGAGGGGCCTCACCACCGCCTCCTTTAAGGCCACGGGGAAGGCACCCTCCCGTAAAGAAGCGTTTATAATTCCCTGGAGCCAGGCTCGTGTACCCTCCCGGGCCGCCAGTACCAGCCAGGAGGGGCACGGATCCAGTAAACATGTGGTTGCATTCAGCCTCCTCAGGATCCTGTCCACGTCCTCGGGAGCCACAGAGTCAAACTCCTCCCATATAATAGTCTCAAGACCTGCTCCCGTCTCCTCCTCCGGGGCCACCCAGTCGGAGTCTAAACCCTCTCGGATCCGAGCGACTTTGTCATACAGATATTGAGCAAAATCCTCAGCCCTCCCCACCAGGGGGTCCCCCCCCCAACTGAAGGAGAGAGCGGGTCACCCTGAAGAGGGTGGCCGGGCGATTATCTGATGACGCAATGAGGGTGGAGTAGTAATTAGACCTCGCCACCCTCATTGCCACAAGGTAGGATCTAACATGCATCAAAAACATACTTGTTCATTAATTTATTGAGGAAAATTATCCAGAGTCAGTTTGGTATAGCAGTTAAGGTGCTGCCTCTGGAAACCAGGAGACTGTGAGTTCTAGCCCTACCCTAGGGATGAAAGTCAATAGGGAGATTTTCAGACAGTCGCTCTGTCTTAGTCCAACCCACCTCACAGTTTTTGTGGATAAGAGGTGGGAGTTCTACATATTTGCTACCTTGATGTATATATTTAAAAAATAGGATAAAATCGCCATCATCATCATCCTCATTCTCATAATCTTTCTAGACTATTGGCTTTTAGTCAAACAGCAGGTGGCAGCCAAGCCTGGGAGGATATTTGCACAGATCCATCTTGTATACCGATTACATAAATTTCTACTCAAAGTTAGTCATGCTTTGGTCACTTCCTGTCTGGATTCTGGCAATACCTTCTATTTGGAACTCTCCCTTTAGAACACCCAGATAGTTATGCACACAGCACAATATGTCCATGTAGTGCCACTATTTAATGAGCAGCACAGGCTGCTGGTAGACTTCTAAGGGTAATGCAAGTACCTATAAAGCTTCCATGATAGGTAGTCATGGAGAAAATCCATGACTTCACTAAGAGTTGACACAATTTGATGGCACAAATCAATTCCCTCTTTAAAAGATTTTGGGCTTCTCTGTCTTTTCTGGCTCAGACCTCTTCTCAGCCATATCTCATTTATCAATTACTTTAGTTAGTTTTGTCTTGATTAGTAGACATTAAATGATTGGGATATTAAAAAAATTGTAGAACAACAAATAGGAACACAGAAATTATATACTGAGCATTTTATAGTTGTATAAGCAAACCATTTTGAAAAAGATGTCAATGAACATTTTATATATCTCTATTATTATTGTGAATATAAATCAAGATATTAACATCTTTATTTAAAAACTCAGCAAATTGATTATCGCCCAATTTTCCTTTATCCAGACACAACATGTAGTAGACTATTTGTTAGTATATTTCCATAGTGCAAGTTTCCAAATGGATAGCCATATACAGAATTATTTTTATACTTCCCTTTGCTGTTCAACATTTACACCTCATTTATAACCAGAGAGTAAACAAAGAGAAATGTTTTCTAGTCATTATTCTATTTGAACAGATTAATTTTCATTCTATCTTTAACATTAAAAGCAACATGCTCCTTTTGTTCAAATTACCAAGGAAGCAATGAATAGAGCTCTCCTTCATTGGAGGTGTTCAAGCAAATGAAGGGGTATTTCTGCCAGGAATACTTCAATCAAGAATCCAGCACAGAGTTTAGGAGTGGATTTGATAGAGTAAATAGCCCCTACCAACCTCTTGATAAACCTCTTATTTTCATGATACATGGCAGTCCAGAAAACAGCAGTTGAATCCCACTTCACTGGGGGAAGTGCCATAAGAAATGGCCATGGCCTCCACATAAGCTCTATTCCCCTCCACCCCCGGCTTCCAGAAGCCTGACGCTGCAAATCAAATGTGCAGCCAATACTACTGACATGGTGGAGGTGTCCAAACTACAAATTCTGCATATGTTTTAGTTGGCTTTAGAGAAGGCAGACAATCTGATATTCATAGGATCCAGTATGCAAGGGTTTCTGTTTCTCAAAACATTTTTTTCTTTTATCCTTTAATATTTGTTTTTTAAAAAATGGAAGTTGGAATACTGTGAAGCACCTGCTTCTATTATCACTCCAATTATTATTTACAAAATTACCTTGCGTGTAGCTCCCAAATGAATTTTATCAACAAAATCTTACGTCATGTCTTCAGTCTGGACAAGGGGAGTTAAGAATTAAATTGATACTGGTTATCGGACAAGAGATCTCCCATTCACATGCCTACTCTTAACCTCACAACCTCTCCAAATGTCAGCCAGGTCCTTTCTGTTGATGTCACTGTGTCAGTGGATGGTACCTGAAGGTTCTCCAGAAAACCGGGAAGTTTAGTTTTGTTCCCAACCCCTCAGAAGATGCCCAACCAGACTTGACATTGATTTTCTTTATTGGAAGCCAAAGCCACTAAATTCCCTTGTAAGTGCCAGGTAATCACAGATCAATGCATCAGTCAACTGATACCAAAATTAAGCATAAGCTTTCTTCTCTTCCCACTACCATAACTAAGCACCTTTAAGGCTAATGGGGTTAAAAAATGTCAAGTATGAATGTAATGTCTGCCATCCTTCCAATCTCATGTTTAAGGGTACATTAAATATTGACAGTGGTCATGATTTGATATCAAAACAGTTGAAATATGTCTTGCATTGTAGATATTTCTGAGGAGGTTTATTTTTCATAAGATTCAGATTTCCCCCTCTCTCCTTAGAGATATATAACTCAACATTAACAAGAAAAAATAACAATTTAGCAACAACACGTAGACATATACTACTTCATAGTGCTTTACAGCACTCTCTAAACTGTTTACAGAGCCATCATATTGCCCACAACAATATGGGTCCTCATTTTACTGACTTTTTTAAGGATGGAAGGCTGAATCAACCTTGAGCCGGTCAGGACTGAACTCCTGGCAGTGAGCAGTCAGCCTCCAATATTGCATTCTAACCACTGTACCACTATGTCAATGTATTATAATAATAATTCATATTTAAAAGCAGACTGATAATTGTATTTAATTATTACCTGTTAGAGTAATAGCCTGCCTTTCTATCAGGAGCCCAAGAAAATTTATTAAGTATTGACAATGAAATGCTTCTGGATTCAAATCAGACTCCCAGGTTATGCTCCTTGGTCTCCAAAATAATATATTATTAGAAACCACTGAAAAGTTGTCCAAGTTCTCACATTCTATCATATCTTCTTCTGTGCCCCCTATCATCATGTACAAATTCACAAAATGTCCAGGGGGCAAAAAAAGTTGCTGACCCCAACTTAAAAATATTGTCAGAAACATTACAGTAGCACAGTTTTATGAACAATTTTTTAAAATGCCTATTAATAGCTTCCTCAATCTGGTTTGCAGCACTGAATTTACTGAATCAGTAAAACCTGACAAATGTGTCACTTTTACATTACTAACTGCAATTGTGCTTACTTGTGAAGACTTTGAGTACATTTAGCTCAAAAAGATTTAGTAAATTATTGTGTCATATATATCCAGAATAATGATTCATGTATGATTCCCACATATTGGGTCACTAGTCTCTGAGTGATGCTCTTGGGCAAATGTACAGCACAAGGAGCTAGTATATCTAAATCAGCCTTCTTCAACCTAATTCTGAGGAAGTATTGACTTATCAACATTCATTAGTCTAACTAGTATGGCCAAGTTGGGGAAATCTCAATCTAAATGTAAAGCTTCTATGAAAGGTTGGGTCTTAGTTACAAATCTAAGCCCTTTGAATAGTAGATCCTCTTATTATAGATGGGTCATATTCATCCCACCAAATATGTATTTTAACTGTATTACTGAATAAAATGCAATCCCATGTAATCATTCTCTTCCATTTATTTCATAAAGCATGTTTTGCTCACTACTAATAAACTTTTCTTTATCAGTGAATATAATTTAAAAAATAAAAAAATCACTCACCTATAAAGTCTAACATAATTGCTTTACTAAGTGAATCAACTGGAGAACTAATTAGACTTTATAATGATTATTGCAAAATCCATGCATGTAAATGAAAATGTATACTCCTTAACTGGAGCATGTTAAATCCTCCATACTTTTGTTCTGTCATGCAATATATATTACAGAATAACTATATTAAAGCTGTAGTTAGCCTAATCAATGACATTTAGTGCCAAACAAATACTTCTAGAATCAGGATATAGATAAATCATGCTATATTTTAATAAACAACTGATTAAAATCAGGCATTTGCTATTCCATATGTTCTCTGCAGATGCAGGGATGAGCCACCAATAACAGGCAGGTTATTATTATGCATAGGCAAGGTGCAGTGGTTAACCCTTTATTATTTCTGCCTGATTAGCTCTTCTCGCCACCCCCCCTTTTTTTCACTGAAATCATACACAGATTTGTAAGACATCAAAAATATAATAGCAGAGAAAAGCAGCATACTTCTATGTTATAAAATCAATTAACAAGGTATAAAATGGGAATATGGTAAGACACTGTTCTCTGTTCCTACATAACCTGAAAGAAAATAAGGTCACAGAGTGAGCTACATTCTTGGAGGAATTCTTAAATCAAAACATTAAAAAACAACAAAAACACAGAACAACTTACATTTGCAGCATAACTTCATTTAAGAAAACTCCATCTAGAAGTGCAACGTATTCTTCCAAGTTGGTTGCATTTTGTCCAGCTAACGATCCAAATGTCTTAACCTAGGAACACAGAGCATAATTATCAACACTATGACCTGAATTCTGTCTGTACTTGGCAAGAATCATTTATATAAATTCCATTACTGATCAACAAATGCTTACCCAGGTAACAAGTGGGCTGGATATGAAGACCTCCAAAAGAGGTGTGAATATCTCATTTTCCATGTTTTAAGAAAATGTCTGAATTATAAAAGATTAAATGAGAAAAGTCTCTTCTTTACGGTAATTCCGTGAAATGCCCAACGTCTTCAGGAAGAATATACCCTGGCTAGTCCCCAAATAAAATTCAAAAGTAGTTAGAGCTGTGGCAACAAAGATTTCATTATCCACCTCGTCCAAAAACGGAGTGATCGTGAGGCCATGGACGTTCCGGGGTTGTTGGTTTTTTTTTTTCTCGCCTACGGCTCTTTCTTCCTCCTCTTTCCGTGCTGAAGGGGAAGGAGAAAGGAGAAACCCGACGACGATCCTACATCAGCTGCAAACTCTCTCCCCCCCCCCCTTTCTAGGCTGCACCACCACAAGCAGGCAAGCCGCAGGCATGCGAATGGGAGCAAATTTCAAGGAAACTCGCCCCGACAGCTAATTTTAATCCCCAGCTAACAAAAAAACGTACGTGTGACAGGAAAGGCAGAAATCGCATTCTCCTTTCCAATCCCTTGAGAAGTCTTAGATTCAAGCTCAAAAGAAATCGCCCTTTTTCCTAAACAAGATGATTTCCCCCTCCACGTTCCCCCCCCTTCCCAGGAAGAGAGGACGGCCGCCGGTTCCTGCACTCACCCCACCCAAGAGCCTCACACTGTCGCTTTCTTTGCCACCTCTGTTTCTCGTCCTTTCCCCATAACCTTCCTTACTTTATGGGTAACTGAGCAACACCCATCAAAAATGAAGCAGAACCCCACCCCCTTTGCCTAGTCCCTTAGCGCTCGCAATTGATCGCTCCCTCCCGCTCGGTTCCAAGGCTACCGGGAGCTCCAGCCTCCCCCTTCCACAGCTTTTTCCACAACCTCGGCCCCTCACTCACCCCCACCCTACAACGGCCGGCTTCTTCGCCCCCTTAAGCCCTTATTATTTGCTCCTCCTCTACCCCCACCTCCGCCACCCCCGTTTTATTCCCCCCTTGTAGTAGTTCAGTTCCAGTAGCAGTCCTTCCAGCCACTCCCCCAGCCTACCACCCTTCCCTTCTAGGGACTAATTTTCCGCTTGCGGGTGCACACCCACTGCCGTCTCCCTGAAGTAACGGCCACCGCTCTTCAACAGATTCGCATCGCTCACACGCGCACTCCCCTTCCTTTCGCTTCTGTAAGGAGACAGAGGGAGAGATCCCTCCGCAAAGCAGACGAAAGAGGGGAAGAGGGGGGGTTGACTGTTTTTTTCTTTGCAATCTGTAGGTTTCGACTTTATTCCTCCGCCGCTGGACTGGCTGATGTTGGAATTAAGGGAAGGGGAGGGACGAATGTTAAGGAAGGCAGAAAAACCGCTGCAGGGCGCGCGCAAGGAGCGCACGCAGGTCGGCCGCCGCTGCAGACCCGGAGAAGGGCGCGCGCCAAGCAGCTTATAATGGAGATAGAAGGAAAAATACTATTATGATTTGGGGAAAGGGTAGCATGATAAGAGGTAGTCCGAATTTCTTTTCTACACGACATGTCACCCAGCCAGGAACTCTGTGGCTTGAGTAATTATGTGATGTATGGATGTTCCTTCTGGATCCTGCTTCCGCTTCATTTATACGTTAGAAAAAGATGGGTGAAGCTCAAGAACATGTTATATGTAGACCTTTATGAGATTTAAAAAATAGTGTGTGAATTCCTTATGTGGGGAAGGCTGGAGAGATTAAATACATTTTTGTGCATATTAGAAGGGACTAATTCTACTTTCACCATACCCCGCCAAAATTAGTACCAACCAAAATTAGTACACCGTAAAGAGTTCTTTTCCTGTCTGCATGCATGGATGTTGATGGGCTCCATGATTATATATCCCATGACTATCATTTTGTTGGAGGGTCTTCATTCCCCTTGGTGTTTGTCAATCTACTCTTTGGTAGATTGTATCAAATCTCTAGTTGCCTTTCAATTTTAAGCGTCTTAAACTACTTCCAGAGAGAAATTTTTTAGTTCCAATATTACTATTATGGTCCAGTTGGTGTCTTTCAAGTCCCAGTGATGGCTCTTGTATCAAACTCATTCTGAGAAGCCCTTATTCCACCATTCTGTTGTGTCATGCAGTTCTTCAGTATTGGGGGAGTTCATTAATATCCGATTTAAAGGTTTACCAAACTAGGAAGAATATACATAAAATATTGTAGAAAATAAGACTAACAGTTAATGTAATAAAATAAGTGCAACATTTCTATCGCTCTGACATATTTTAAAATAATAAAATGAAAGGGCTTACATAATATAAGACCTTTGCCTTATTCAACTTCTGGTCCACCACACTGAGAAGATATATGCAAAAAAAAAAAAAAAAAGAGAGACAAGTCAGATGAGAGTTGGCAAAGTAATCAATAACTCTCAGTGTAATCTAGGATACAGAAGAACACAGATAACTACTGGCAGATATATCTTCCCAAAGCTGTCATCCAATTAAACTAATTGCTGCTAGATTCAAGATAGACCAAAAAACAAAACAAAACTGTGTTTTATTGCACTTTAGGTACCAACAAATTTATTATAGCAAAGGTTTTCATGAATTTTTAGATGAATTTATCAGGTGCATAAAGCATTGTGCCAACTAATAATAATAATAATAATAATANAAGGGACCTTGGAGGTCATCTAGTCCAACCGCCTGCTCAGGCAGGAAACCCTATACCATTTCGGACAAATGGCTGTCCAGTTTCTTCTTAAAAACTTCCAGTGTTGGAGCATTCACCGCTTCTGGAGGCAGGTTGTTCCACTGGTTAATTGTTCTAACTGTCAGGAAGTTTCTCCTTAGTTCTAGGTTGCTTCTCTCCTTGATTAGTTTCCATCCGTTGTTTCTTGTCCTGCCTTCAGGCGCTTTGGAGAATAGCTTGACTTCCTCTTCTTTGTGGCAACCCCTGAGATATTGGAACACTGCTATCATGTCCCCCCTCATCCTTCTGTTCGTTAAACTAGACATACCCAATTCCAGCAGCCATTCCTTATATGCTTTAGCCTCCAGTCCCCTAATCAATAGGTATTGTACATAAAAGGGCAGACATCTATGTAAATATGTCTCTGTAAAGGTAAAGGTGAAATGGGAAAGAAAACAGTATGATAATTAAATCTAGCCTGTACTTAATTTACCATCACTTTGCTTGTATAGTATGCTATTTTTTCCAGAGGACTAAAATTTACACAATTCCACTTTACAAGTCTATTTACTTGCAGACAGAAAAATATTAAAATCTCATAGTAAAAAAAGACAATAAAATTAAGCAGTTTATATATTTAAATAGTAAGATTTTAATTTAAAGTGAAATTTAGCAGCAGCAACCTTTGATCTGTGGTATAAGCTTTACCCCTGTTAGGTAACAGAAAAGCTAGACACACAGAGGAAAAAAAGGAACTTCTAATTCATCAGTCTCAGGATATTGTGCAACAAGATGTGGGGGTGATTACCAGATTTTATTATTTTAAAGCAAATGTGAACAACTTTCGGCAGGGGGTTAAATAAAGACATTTTAACTTTCATACTCCAAAAGTCATGCTCCTAAAAGTAACCAGGGCCAAGATACAGACAAAAACTGTGTATTATTTGCTTTACAAAGTATTTCATATACTTATATTTTATTAACGTAAACTAATGAAATAGTTGGTATGGTTATTTCTCATGCACCAAAGGATTTTCTGCTCCTGTCACATTAAAAATTATAATCTTAGCAAATGCATTTTTTTTAAAAAATAGTTTTTATTAAAAGATTTTAAATTCATAAGAAATATATTCAAAGAAAAAGATTTAGTAAATGTGAAAGAGAAAAATGGAAAAGAAGAGGTAGAAAAAATGATGTAGAAAGACAGAAAATATGAGAATAAATATAAAGGTATGGCTTCCAATCTTAAAATATGAGAATAAATATAAAGGTATGGCTTCCAATCTTCCTGATATTATATATACAATTCTAATTAAACTCCCTCTAAGATTACATCTTAATTTCTCTTCTCTATAATCTATTTTCTAATAATCAGAGTCAGAACTCATAAAATCATTTTCTTTTTTAATACAAAAATCTATAAGAGGTTTCCAGTCATAGATGAATGTCAATAACTATCTTTCTCTAATCAAAGATGTCAGTTTCACCATTTCAGCAAGTTCTATCAATTTCACCAACCATTCTCCATGATGGGTAGTAGAGAATCTTCCTATCTTTTGCATATAAAATAATCTTGCTGCCTCAATCATGTACTAAAATAATTTCATGATTCTTTTAACTCTTCTAACCATCAGTCCTAAAAGGAAAAGTTCTGGCTTCAGTTGTTAATCTTTAAAGTCCTCTGTATTAATGTATATATTGTTGTTGTATATATGTATATATTCATGTTGTTCACATTTCTAACACACATTATATGTTCTAGATAATTTCTCTGGAGTCATGTAACAACAATACATCATTTTGTAAAAAAAGTCTTTAAGATCATAACATAATGTAAATTCCTGCCCTTTTGACTATATATTTTCCCATTGATCCATCCATAATTTTTATATCCGAAATTCTTAGCATACTTTACCATATATTCTTTAACCTGTTCTTCTATTTCAAATTCAACAAATGTTTATACATTTTAGCAATTACATGTTCATCATTAGTACACAATTGCACTTCAAATTCTTTGCTCCATGCCATAAGTTTTTTATCCATTTTAATTTTTTTCTGATAACTGTATATGGGAAAACCATTGATAACTATATCTTACTGCCATTGGTTGCTCTTTTGATTTGATTTTGTATTTAATTTACTACATTAAATGATAATTCTGCAATAATTCCTGGTAGTTTGCAATTTGTCTTTGTTTCACTTCTGTAAAATGCTTCTTGAGCTGAGAATCATAGAGGTGTTTTCAGCACAGCCTGGGTTTCTATCTGTTCCATATTTTCAATATTAGATGTCTAATAAAGTGATTTTAAAATCACTTTAACTTTATCATACCATAAATATCTAACCCTCAGTTATGACCTTCTAAGTCTGTTGCTATTGCATATTTTTCAGTAACACCCATTCTTTAATCCAAACCAATAAGCTGCAAAGTACAATTTCAAATCTGGTAAACCCAAACCTCCTCTTTTTAAATAAAAAAAAATGTTTCTGCAACTGCTCTGCTCCTTCAGTCAAAATAGAACTGACTATGAAGAAAATACCATGTTTACTTCCTCCATTCTTAATTCTCATAATCTTCCTACGAGGATATC